AGTAAATGATATCCGAAAAAATCATCTCATAAAAATGAAAAGTTCCAGCCATGTTCAAATAAAAAGGAGATACTCAAAAATTTAAACCTTTTTATCTAATAATAATATATTACTATGAAAAGTAACTGATATATTATTGATAAACGTGCCAGTACAAAGTAAACATATAGTACATAAAGTGTATGCAACTTTCGGCCGATTTTCGAATCGCCTCCGCCTTGCCCCGCGCGCAGATCAAATCTCGCTCGAGCGCATCTTTTAATTAGATATAATCATTTAAAGATATAAAGGTTTAAATTTTTGAGAGAATCTTTTTTGAACATGGCTTGACCTTTTCATTTTTATGATACGAGACATTGTGTTTACATGATCAGAAATACAATACGTATGCCTATCTTTAATTATGAATTTATAAAAATTGAAAGCAACTTTTTGGAAATTTTCTAACTTAAAACATTTGATTAGAGTTAAGATATTTTAATCTTTGGAATTAGATAAGTGCAGTATTTAGTCTGTGACGATTCGCAAAAAGTTTCTATATGCATAATATTCGGTATGTAGAGCGTTTGAGAAAAGGCATTAATGCGGTAGTGCACATGACTACGGCGAACTTTATTATAATTTCGGCGCGACGTGCTGTATCTGGGTAAGAGCCGAGGGTCCTGGCGCAGAGGAGATTAGGGCGATGTGGCTGGACGTTGGCCACTTGACTGGTATTATAGATGTAATATCGTAAACAACATCCCTCTCAGCTGGTGCGCGTGAGGTCCGTACAAGTCACAGTACCTCTCGTCGGTTCTCCGTTACACTGGATCGACCAACGAGTGCTCAGCAGCATTAAATCCTTTCTGCTTCCCTTTACAAGCGTTACCGGTGTTTACTGTTGAATATTCATTCTTTAGCCGCATGTTCGTAGCAGCCTGTTCGCGCGTTGTATGGTGGAGAACACGGGGTTATCCACACTATTTGATCTTATGCTGGGTCGGCCGGGGCTGACCATATGCTTACCGCAATCGCCCATACCCCATTTTATATTTCGAATTATCCTGATGTACATGCAATATGATGCATATACATTGGACGGCCAATACTCTTTCAACATCTTAATTGTATTTAATTACAAGTTTACATTTTAAAACAAATCAACGATGTAATATCTAACATATATAAAAATTTTTCTTTTCCAACATATATAGTATTTCAGATGCGCTTGTAAATGCTTATTTATATTTATCATTAATGTATATTTGTAGAATTAATTTTAATTCGAACGACATGCAATAATTGCGCCTTGTGGGAGATTCAGCGGTACATCCGATGCTTGAATTATTCAAAGTACAGTGACGAATATCCTCACATTAAACGAAGTCAATATATAAACTATCCATGTTGTGTTTTGGAAAGTGGACGATATCCGATGTATTTCCGTTCATGGGATCCCTTCACATTAAACGAAGTCAATATATAAACTATCCATGTTGTGTTTTGGAAAGTGGACGATATCCGTTCATGGGATCCTTGTAACCCTTATATTAACGAGTACATGCCTAGGCTATCAAGACTCGGCTGGAAAAATCACGATATGTTATCTTTTTGCTATGCAGACTAGTGAGACTGTTTCTTAAAATTTTAGCAGTGGTGTAACTATAAAGGGGCAAAGGGAGCTGCGGCCCAAGGGTTGTTGGGTTCTTGAAATTTTATTTTATTTTTAGTCACATCGTCCAATACCATTTGTCTTGATATAAACCGTTTCTAGTATAGATCTCTACAGCAAAAGATAAAAAATGACTAACGCAAAAGTATTAAAAACTCCTATTTTAGTAATTTCGAGAGGTTTTCTCAAAAACTTAACATGGCACGTCATTTTTACTGTTAATGCTAAAATTTTATCAGAAATGACTTGATAAAACTTAAGGCAAAGAAGATATCTTATATTGTCGATTAATGTTATTATTTTAAATATAATTATTTGATAGTTAAATCAAAAATAAAATTCCGTATTTCCAAATTTGTATTGCACTTTACATTTAGCTCTGTTTCTGATATAATACTCTGTTTGTAGTATAAGCTAAGATTTGATGTTTGGCTGTCGTGCACGATGTATCTGTTTCTATTGATTTTTTAACCAGGAATTTTTCTTCTTCTAAACTAAAAACTATATTTACGTTTTTGAATTTTATTTTCTCTGTATTATTTCATATTTAAAAGAAATATATATATTGAATTTTTACTTTGTGATATTTGAACAATTTAATTATTAAGGAAAATATGTTATAACTAGTCTCTTCAATGATAGAATCTTCGAAAGGCTAGCCCCCGGATCCAAATTTTAAAGTTACGCTACTGAATTTCAGTCTTGTTTAAATCAATTAAAAATTTTTTTTATTACCCAATTATTTATGTCTGACATTATTTCAAAATAAAATTATAATCGTGCGAAGATACTCGATTCGTCAGCATGTCGAGAGGGATATCAGAAATAAAATGTTTCATTAATATGGTATATCGAGTTGAATATATATATAAGTAGCAAGTTCTGTGAATAATCGATCAGAAACGACTATCTTGACTCGCGTTAAGTTTTGAAGGTGTCGCTTGTCATGCCATAGTTCGCGTCTCGTTTTGCCGCCTGACTCAGCAAAAGTCATTAATAACTTCGAGAAGGTAGATAAAGTACTAAACACCACAGGAACATCGTTGCTTATGTACACGTCATTACTCTAGCTAATCAGATTCGATAAAGACTCACTAATATATTTCTTGATAGTGTCATATTAAGTAATTATACATGTAGTGAAAATGTTTTGTAATATTGCATTATGAAAACAAAGAATCTTCTTAATTTTTACATAAGAGCAAAAGAAATAATTCAATATAAAGTAGTTGTAAATAATTGTTCTGCTCATTATATAGTAATATACACTATACGTAGATATGCATTATACACATATTTTTTAAATAATAAACAGATTATGAAAAAAATTACAGATTATTTGCAAAAATTTAATCTGAAACAATTTTGTATATTATATGTCATTAAATTTATCCGTGCATAAGTTATAAATTTAATAATCAAATAAGAATCAGTATAGTTACATAATATACAATGATTAACAGGTAATTGGAGTCTATAAGTGCTTCATTGATAATAATCTTTTAATATTCTATTAGTATAAATTATACATACTTTGAACGTTTCGGTTATTGCTTATTTTAGCCATCTTCAGCAATAATTACATATATATATATATTCTATCTCTTACTATAATTTTTACAAAGGAATTTAAAGTGCATTAGTCCTTTTCTGTTGTTGAAGGTATTATCTTAGATGTTAATTTTCTTTACAATAGATTGGAACCGCAATGTATCCTTCGGAAAGCATAATCATCGGTCAATGAAGATACCTTTTACGTATTGGTAACGATATTATGTTATTTAAATGTTAATTAAACCAAAATGTTACAATTATTTTTGAATCATTAGTACACTTGACCAAAAATTATGCTCACCAAACATTTCCAAACTCTTTCGTAAGAAAACATATTAATTAGAAAAATATAATAACTTTAGTTGAAGTCACGCACATACAATTGTTATCTATGTATAATATATAATTTTACTAATTTAAAATTTTCCACATTTTATGTGTTCAAATGAAGAAATTACGTTTTTACAATGTTATAGTTTGATACATAATGAAAGAACTTAAAACAATATCCTGATTGGCTCATCGGCTTAGGTTTACGTCTTACAGTCACTGTTACGGAATTTTATGTGCGACAACCCTATAATGAGACTAAATGACTTTCATATGTTCAATCTCTACTGTAGTTGTTATTATTTATTAAAGTAAATGCAAGATTCGTTTAATATTACCGTGTCTGTCTTCAAATTTAAGCCGTCAGTCTATCTGTTAATAAATATCATCTCCGACATTAAGCGTTTATTATATAATAATATCTTTCTTCATCCACAGAACTTCAATATTATGGATCAATATCCCAATCGAATTTTTTATTTTTATTCAATCTATGATCTATTATAACTGAATGTAAGAGGAGGATTTACTCTGTATATGCTTTTTATGTTCCATAATTTTAATCTTCAATTTTCTCATTGTCACTGGCCTACATAAGACGCGTTGCAATCATTGCAATTAATTTTGTACACTACATTTCTCATTTGTTAATCAATCCTTTTGTATTTTAATAAATTGATTAAGTTTGTTTAAGCTTATGACGTTATTCGCGCGCGCGTCGTCGCAGGGCGAAACCACGGTGGACGCGGAGGCGGGATGGAGGTCCTCCGCCGAGCGAACGAACGGTTCGCTCGCTCGTTGCCTCACTCTGCTCACGCGGTTTATTTATTTTTAGATTATTTATTTTATTTATAAAATAAATCACTTCTTTGAACTTTATTTATTAAATAAAGCTACTTCTCCTATATGATCCATAGTGCCCCAGTGTCTGACCCATAGTACCGAGCATGGGGTACCATGGGTCATTTCTAAAAATTTCTTTTTTGATTTTTATTTAAAAAGCAAATCAATATTTATGAAAAATAAATCTTAAAATATACATTATCCCTTAATTATTTTTAAAAAATTGAGACCAAAAGTTACATTTCAATGTATTTTTTACTGTTTGAATTTTTGTTTGAATTATTCTAATAGTATATTGCTGATATATTTCTGATATATAACTATTATATTTAAAGTTGCTGATTTAGAGCCGTATCAGTACATTATATTTACCGTTATAATATTAAATGTAATTCCTGACACTCGTGCAATATTACATCTACATCTAAATTACACGCTGCGGTTTGTTTATAACTACCAAGGTATATAGGAATAAACAAAAGAAAATTACATATGTATAAATAAAAAATGTAAGAGAGAGAGAACAATAAACAGATAATTTTAAAAATACATTTTTTACACAAGATTACATTTGGATATGTTACACTCTATATAATAACGTATTGTTCTTTTTTCTCTTGATGTATAAAATATAAAAATGAAAAAATTCCCGCTTTTTTTCATTTGGCGATAAAAAATCAAACCATTATGCCTTTTAAATTAATTCAATTATTAAAAGTATTACTGGGAATACATTACGAAACACACACATACACGCATCTATCTCGGCGTTTCAATGACAAACAAATTTACAATTCGTCGTGCGTTTTCATGTGATTCATTATGAAGTCGTACAGATCGTCGAGATTACGCGAGCCATTGTATTCCGAAACCTTGCGTCCATTATGATATAAATACAACGTTGGAAAACCATCCACCTCCTGTTCATTGCACAATTGTTTGCTTACATCGAGTGTACAATCGACTTTGATAATGTTCACATTGTCGTTGCCGAAGAACTTCTTACCCAGTTCTTCCCACGTGGGAGCCAGACGTTTACAATGTCCACACCAGGGTGCGAAGAACTTGACGAATGAAAGGCCCTTTTCGATACCTTGCTTAAAACTATCCGCCGTCAAACTCAACATAGCACTCGGGATTCCGTCTGTATTTTCAAGCTTCTGGTTTGACTCGTTTTCTGCATTCTTACCCAACATCATTGTTACATAAGTTTTCAACTCTTCGTGAGTACGCTGACCAGTATATTTATTCATCTAAAAATTTGTATTCCGTTAAATATTCTGAATAGATCTGTTTGCATTACATGCACTTTTTGTATCTTCGTTTTCTCTCTTTTCAACGTTCGAACATACATACGCATTTATCTCAATTTAAATGCAACAATTTTTGAGAATTTCAAATAACGAGAACAGACGTAATGTTTACTGAAATAATATGAAAAAATTCTATATAATTCCTTGATCTTCTAGGTATTTTTATTAAAAATTGTAAGTAAACTTTAAGAATTTTTTAAAAATCAACAAAGGAAAAACTATAGAAATCTCCGTAAAAATTTTTTTATGCTAATTTTTTTACGACTATAATACTAAGAAAAATGTAATTGTGATATTCATAATCAGAAATCTGTTGAAAACGTGTACACATAGAACAGTTTTTTTTTTTTAATAAAATAAAAATTTATTTTATTTTCTGATTTTTCTAGATACTAAGCACCTCATAAATAACTATTTTTTATACAAAAAAAATTATAATTCAATCGGTACCTTTTTTCCGTTTTCAATCCATAGCAATGTAGGATATCCCTTGATGTCAAACTGGCCGCAGATACTAAGATGCTGTGTACAATCTATTTTAGAAATACTGACTGCATCGTCGTTGCGAAGACTGTTGGCTAATTCATCCCAAATTGGAGCTAATTTCTGACAGTGTCCACACCAAGGTGCGTAAAACTTGACAAAATGATGCCCAAAAGATACGTGTTTCTCAAACGTATCTTTCGTTAATTCTTGTAATCCATTCACTGCTTCCGGAGGAGTGGGCATGACATCTTCAACCTGAACATATAAACTACTGTGATCGACTGTGACTAACAATTCAATACAATAGCACGAAATTCTATATAAAATATACATACCATTGAACTACCTAACTGATCATTAATAAAAGAAGTCAATGTAGGTAAATCACGAGTGCCTCGGAACTTGATGCCTTTAGTTTCCCCAGTCTTGTAAAACTTCAACCTATATCCAAAAGACATCAATTAAATTAAAAATCAATTATAAAAAAAATCTATTTAGACAAAAATTAAGTTAGATGGTAAAAATGTATTACGTGGGGTAGCCAGTAACATCTTGCTCGCTGCACAAAACACTCTCGGTTGTACAATCCACCTTGACAATTTTTATGTTACTGTCCTCCTCATTTAAGATCTCTGCCAACTGCTCCCACGTAGGGCCAAGTCTTTGACAATGACCACACCTTACACAGAACATTTCCAATTGAATTTCGTTCAATTAATATAAAAAATAATATTTGTATTATATTAATTTTATTTCTAAGAAAAATAGATTTACTTCTTAATTAAGATAAAAAAACAGCTTGAAATACAATGCATATTCATTTTATTGAATTGATTAACTATAATGAGCATGTAAAGTTAGCATCCCAACTTTAGATCTCGAGAGTTCTGTTTAGAGTTCCAGTTTCCATTTTGAATTAAACAGTCTTGTAGACCAAAAACCTGAAGTCTCTTAACGTCATATTAGGATAAGATAAATTTATTATGTTTATGTGCTTTAACAAAATTAAAAATTGATCTTTGCTTAAAAAAATAAAATAAATGTTGAAATCATTTTTCTCAATAAAAAAAAATTGAATTCTTGTTATTTAATTTTTCTTGGAAAAAAAATTTCCATTAGATAAAATTTTTAATGATTTCTAACGAAATTCTATCTGCTATAACTATACAAGCTCGAAGAAAAATTCAATTCCTATCCGTTTCTATTAGCAACACTATATCTACAAATACGGACAGAAAATATAACGTGTAACTGTATCTAATGGAAATCTATCGGTGTATCAGCATCTACATAGAAGCTTGTGGAATAAAAAAACGTGTCTGTTTCTGTCCATATCCTGTAAGCATCAGCTTCTGATGGTATCTATCCGCAATTGCGGATACCGTATTAATTTATCTCATTATAATATTAAAGTTTTAAACTATTATATCTGATGTAGGATCGAAGGTAAAGAGTACAATTATATTTAAAAATAACTTAAAATATATCAACTGATATATTTTAACAATATTCAATACTAAGACCGTTAATGTAAGAACATAACTAATACATGTACGAAGCCTATAACAGTCTAGCTTGGATTCTAATCGCTTATATATAAACTACCGCGGTACTATCACGAATTAAATTAAATTAATAATTAACTAATATACGTAGTCCCCCCAAATTGCGCGCCGAACAACCGTCGGTTTTGAAACGCAACTCTAATAATCTGAAGATACTAAATCTGGAAAATTATTCTTATTGCGAAAAATATTACCTCGGCCGGCAGTCGAACCCGGATACCCTGCTTTACGCGCAAGTATTCTAGCCAATTAGACTATCGAGGCCTTATATTTTAAGTCAAAAAAATGGCTTCTTCTGTATTTATTTCGATCCTATCTACTTTCCTGTGCGAGATTGGAGAAGTCTCGCAGGACACCCTATATATATAGATATATAAATTTTTTAAGCAACGTGCGCACCACCACAAGTATAAGAGAGAAGTGTAACACAGGCCAGATTTGACCTAATATACGATTTTTTTACGATTGTTCTTGTACTTTTAAATATCTTAGCGCTGAAATACTATCACGTCCGCTAATAAAACAATTTTAGTGAGAAAAATTTAATAACATTAAAAAAATTATTTTTTTTACTCTTTTCGAAAATACGCTGATATATAAAACTCTAATATATATTGAATATGGCATCATAAAGTAAATTTTAGGATTCGCTAATAAACGAATATTTTTTCCAAAAACAAATTTGAAATTTCAATTAAAAACTCAATATAAATTTTTTTAATTGTTCCAATTATTTAATATATATGGAATATTTTTAACAAATAATCATGATCACTAATAAACAATAAGGAACATTCAAGCCTACCTAAGGTTTTTATCGTAAATTAATTTATCTAAAATTTTTTATATAATATAAATTCATAGACATCATATATAGAGTGTTCGAAATTTAAATATCAAAATTTCAGGAGTGTGTAAGAGATTGATGAATTAAGAAAATCTTGTAGAAATATATCATTTTTGTCGTTTTAGAGAAAATCGTAAAAACGACAAAATGTAGTTGCTTCGTTCTTGAACGCGAAGAAGTAGTGTCTTGGCCATTCCAATCTCCTGATTCGATACACCCTGGACTTCTTTGTGTAGAAGGTCATAAAGTAGAAAGCTTTTTTATTCATTGTCGATTAACTCAAGAGAACAATTAAGAAATCGAATCGAAGCTGCAGTCCACTAAATATTATCAGATCAGTGTCTGACTGTAACATGAACTGCCAGTACTAATGATACGCTTTTTCTGCAAGAGGCAAACTTTAAACAATGTCTGCAAGTGAATAAATGCTACATGAATAAGTGATGAAAAGATACAAAAACAAAAACTACGTTGTTGCGTAGATAATATGAAGAGTCGCGCATGTACATAAAAACGTATAGGTGCTCACACATTGCGGTACAAAACACGCAAAGGAAGAAAATTATTTTTGAAGATGACACAAACAAACTTGTTGAGAGAACTGGATCGTGATGAATACAATATTGGAACGATATTTAAGATATGAACACTATAAACGAGAGACATGTCAAGAAATAAACTGTTTTTACAGTTATTAAAATAATTTTTAAACTATTCATTAAAATAAATTGTTTTTACAGAGTCAGTCAAATGTCATAAATCAAAATTATATGTAGTCGAAATAATAGTCAAAATGATGCTAAAAAGTAATTGTATTACGTCACATTTTGTTAAAGATGTTCGTATGATGCAAGAATTTGGTGTCGGATTTAAATCATTGAGATTTAATATGAAAAGCATTTCAGAAATTAATCTCTCTTTTTCTATAATATATTTCGTTATCCAAGATTTCTGTGTTCTCCCATTCAAATTCATGTTTAAAATTCTATTCTGTTCAGTAATGACAGACGGGTTACCAGGTTTATTTTATTGATATTACAATGTTCAACAATTTTTGTTTTTAGTTTTCTCCCCGTCTGTCCTACATATAATGGCTGCGTTTACACCGTGCGCTTAGTCCGCGATTATACAGGATAAACAAGGACATCTATTGTGTTTAGACCGCGGCCTAAATGCACGGTGTAAATGTAGCCATTGAGGCGTTGCAGTTCTTACAGTTAATTTTATACACGATATTTTTCTTGGAATTGTAAAGAAGAATATTTTTTCTGCCTTGATAATCTCTATATTGCACAAACACAAATTATCCATTATACGAATAACGGAATAATACGTCTTAGGCCTGATTGCACCAACGTGATTTCGATTTCAAGCGAAACTTGAACTGTGTCTGTCTGTCTGTCTCCCTTTCGGCTTTAAAACGAAATAGATAGAGTTTTAAGTGTCGTATAAAATCAAGAAGTGTTGGTGTAACCGGGCCTTACTTCATCACTCTTGCTTGATTTCACATTTTCATATTTTCACGTCGAAATTTTATGGTCGTACGAGTAATTTCGTATTCTCACGAGGTGAGATTAACCGTAATTGGGTGAGTTTCTCACTTTTCCTCATTTTCACCCAATGCAAAAATCATAATAAGCCCCTAAGAAATAAGACTAAGAAATAGATCAATCACATTCGAATATGAGAAGAATAATGGACTGTATAATTAGTCTATTTTTACTCTTACTTTTTATTACACATATTGTAAATCAGACCTAAAAATCTAACCAACCACAATCGAGTGATCTCCTCCAATTCAATTGTGATTGGTTGATATTTTATGATTTGCAACTTACTACTCCTGTTACAGACAACTCAATTTCTCGATTTGCAAAACTGTTTTGCCAAATTCGGTGATTTCGTGCAAAAAGTCACGAACGACTGCGTCCAGCAGAGAAAGCAGCTTTGCAACTGTTGTAAAACTCTTCAGTATGATTGGTTTATACATTTAGATCCATAAGGAGTCAAAAGCAAGAACCAACCGTATTCAAAAATTTTACAACAGTTGCAAAGCGGCATTTTCTGCTGCCGTTGAATGGGTCTACTTTTTGTCAATCAACTTCAAAAGCAAGAACCAACCGTATTCAAAAATTTTACAACAGTTGCAAAGCGGCATTTTCTGCTGAATGGGTCTACTTTTTGTCAATCAATGTGAGACAGCTCGACTCCAAGTTATCCAAACAAGTATACACAACACCCTACTAATACGCTTTTATTTTAGTTACGAAATAAATCTATTTTTTTTTTTTAATAGAATTTATGAATATATTGTATAATCAAAATATGTATTTCTTTACCATGGCGCATAGAACATGACGAAGTAATTTCTCTTGCCAACTTCCATGGAAAAATTGTCATGAGTATACCGAAGGGTATGCTCATCCTCGCTGTAGCCATGACTCGTTTGACTTAGTAAAAACAGAAGTAGAACCCCCCGCTTGTATACGCTAAAATCTACCATCATGAGCGACAGCATCGTTCACGAAACGGACGAGAAATTGTTCAAGCCTGTATGGACATCTCGTCAAAAAAACGGACAGCGATTTTTAAAATCTTTTAAACCCGTAACCTTTTCATGCCGGGGTTTAAAAAATCGCCAATTATGACAGCATCATACCAAATATGAATTGATCCGCGGCTCACAACTGCTCACAACTGCTCACAACATCCTACCGAGAATCTCGGAAGATCGACGGTATCTTACCGTCACGTATCACAGAAGAGAGGATTTCTGCAGGACTAAGTGAGATCAAGACCGTTCGGATCTGCTCGACCGTTTCGATTTCGAAGCCTCCGAATTATCTCTGAATCTCTCCGCTTGTCAGTTATCTCAACTTTCTCGCGCGACCGACTCCACCGATCATGATGGAACATGTACCGGATTCACATCCGCCTGATCCGCCTACCATTGGCCTGGTTTACATCGTGAAAGAATTTCTACATACTAAGGGCAGGTTCACACCTTGGCGGAAAAGTGCATCATTGGGCGAGTTCAAGACGACAAAGCGGCTAGGTACGCTTGCCGAGCGATCAAGTATGATTGGTTGGATCTATAAGTAATAACCAATTATATTCAATCGCTCGGCAAGCATACCTAGCCGCTTTGCCGTCTTGAACTCGCTCAATGATATGATTTTTCTGATTGGTTGCAGAGTGTCGTATGACGCACATCGGATGCAGTGTGAATCTAGCATTATGGACCTCTATCTCTATTGGAGACGCGCCTTTAGATTTAGACGAGTTTTATAGGTTGTAGGTTGTACAGGTTATGTAGAAAACCGTTAATTGTTATCGCGTCGTTTTAGAATACGCTCATTACATTTGCTGTTCCGAACTCAATTTACTTGTGCAAAACGCGGTAAACGATTATGAAGTTTCACTGCTACATCGAGATTTACGACAGAACATTATCTGTTTGCTCGCAGAGAAAGTCACAATCGATTTTAGCATTCATGAAGAAATCGATCGAAGATGACAATGTGACTCTGTATCTGCAAACACGACAGAATAAGCATGGCACTAAGTATCAGGTAGTAATACTGGTGTCTAATTGTTTTTGTTTTTTTTTTTTTTTCACAGTCCTGTAGTACTGTCTAAATTGTTTGGTAATTATACAGAATAGGTCCCGCAGCTCAAAAATCAATGACTACGTTTACACGGCACCCTTAATCGGGTTTAATAACGTAACTACTGATGTCGTATAAATATTCTTAAAGGTACATACATACATATTTAAGGTGTTGCTACATTAGTAAAAGAAATACAGATTTTGTATAAACAAACAAGAAGTTATAACTACGGATGTCATTAAACCCGATTAAGAGTGCCATGTAAATGTAGTCAATAAAATTAGGCTCATTCAACGCGTTTTTGCATGAAACAAATCTAGCAAAAATATGTGTTCTACCCTGCCAACTAAGATGTTAAACGTTAAAGTTGATGATCGTCCTATAATAGAACTAATGGTTCTGTTCGACAAATAAAACTGGTCAGTGAACATTTGATGATTCTTTAGTATAATTGAGAGAAAGAGAGCTTCCTTCAGTGAAAATCTAAGCTAGAACCAATCATATTAAAGAATTACTAAGTACTCACTGATCAGTTTTCTTTGCTGAAAGCCAAAAACATAAGAACTAGAAAAATATAAGGGTCTGAGCACAAGAATTATCACATAACATTTATTTAAACTTTAGTTGTAGTCGTAAGCAATACACCATAAACTAAAGCTTATGTATTTATGTCTGTAACTCAAGTTTAAGACATTTTGCTCAGATTTTGAAGCAATAAGTGAATTTGTCAATCATAGTTAATTATTTTTCTGACATTTGACTGTGATGAATCAATTTCATAAGGTTTCTAACTTATATCATATTAGGTGTTTCCCACTGAGAACATTCTTACACAGTATAAAATACAGTGAATTATTACTTTCTTGGTGTTTGTTAATGTTGAACGAAAATGAAATGATTTACTATGTTAAACTGTGTCCATTTATTATTAGGACAAGAGCACAGAATCTAGCATAACACATAGTGAATAAGAAAATTAATCAATTGAAGTCTTTTATTTTCTTTCTTTTCAATAAAATGAAAAACCCTGATTGATTGATTTTCTTCTGCTTCATATAGTATACGTTATCAAAGTCCGTGTATCATGTTATGATTGTAGAATTGATCAATCACAGTCAAATATTTTCTCCATATTTGACTGGTCAATTCTCATGTCTATTCTACAATAGTCATAAGTATAGTTGTGAATATAGTTGTAAGAATTGATCAATTACAGTCAAATATTCTCTTCATATTCGACATGATTGATCAATTCTTACATCTACAACTATCTACAACTACACATATAGCTATTGTAGAAGACTTTAAACTATAATAAAAACTTAAGGTAGTTAGTAAGATATAAACAAATTGGCTAATTCAATCATTTTAATTGTTTTAATGAAATCTGAAGTGTTTCATCCACTTTGTTTTTGAAGGACATATTTGATAATCATCTTTTTTCTTATTTTTAGATTGTTAATAATGTTGAAAAAGTGTTCACGAAGTTTATCGCCGATGGCAAAGTTACAATAAGACTGACACAACCTTGTCACGATCTGATAATTCAGAGTGATTTAATTCAATTGAATAGCTTTCTTCGTATATTGAATTATGTAGTAAATAAACATTCTCAGCATAGTGACGCTGTAATGAACCAGTACATGGTTATGCCTAATGTGGTTTTCAACTCGAGTCATTTCTCCTTGAGAAAAGTCAAAGTTGTAGTGAAGAAAAAATCTGAATATCCAACATTACAAGGTTTTCCAAGAACTACAGAGCAACTAATTTTAAGTGGACTAAGCAGGAAGTCATTTGATCGACAAATTTTGCATTTGCAAAGTCTAAGAATTCTAGATTTGTCAGACAATAACATCTCTTATTTGCCAAAGGAGTTAGGCACTTTACCTCATCTTCAAAAACTTCTACTGTCACAAAATAATCTTGGAAAATCACCTAGATCCAAGTGGACATGGCTAGAACAAACTGCCATTAAGCACAATTTGCATTTCTTAGATATAAGTAGTAATTTAGTAAGTATTGTCCAATTTAACTTAGAGATTATATTAATGAACAAAGCAGATTCTGTTATCTACAAATTTATTATTATTATTGTTATGGTAATGTCATTATTTACAGTTAACTAAATTGCCAATACAAATCAAAAACCTAAGTGCCTTGGTGCATCTAAATGTTAGCCAAAATGCATTGATACATCTACCACATAATATTAGAATTCTACAAAATCTAAGAGTTTTGGATGTAGCAAAAAACAATTTACTGTATTTACCAGTGACCATCACACATCTGCGATTACAGCTTTTAGATGTTACAGAAAATCCGTTTATCAAAGTCATTAAAAATGATGTTTGTGATAGTGATAGTATAATGACAATAAGGATGACAAATCTTGTAGAATGGTCAGCTAAAAGCATTCTGAAGTCTAGGTTTTTATTTTCTTTTTTCTTATTTATATAATTGAACATTTGAAATATATGATGATGGGTCAAAAAAATTTTTATATTTTATAGGATAACATATGATGCAAGTATAATACCGTATACATTGGTGAATTATTTGGATGAAGCTAAATGCTGTCACTCATGCAAAACTGCATGTTTTGATAATTATATAAGGAAGCTCATATATCTACCTCTACTATGTGTAGAGATAAAAACGTCAGTATTTACGTCAGCTTTCAAATTTGAATCCTATTTTTGTTCGTTACTCTGTGCTAGCAATTATCCTGTGTCGAATACAAGATTTTAGTGTCTAATTTTCTCCTCTCTGTTTTAAAACATGAAATACTTTATAATAAACAAATCACTTATATAAAATACATGTGTATATATTTACATTTACATTATTTATTTATTTCATTTATATTTATTATATATTTACTATTGATATTAACATTATTGATTGTTATTCAAATATGAAAAACGACATTTTATATTTCATCACCTTTGTATATTTTTTTATACGTCTTTTTTGAATTATTAATTGTACACAATAAATTTTTCATTTATAGAAATATGACTTGTTTTTAAAGCTTTAGATAATAATTTGTGTGTAATCCTATGTTTTAATAAATAATAACAAAAGAGGGCTACAAGCCTGACAAAGTTGATATTTAATAATCAAATTTACACATTAGATATACAACAAACGTTTCAACACCAATCAGGTCATTCTCAATGTTCAAATTTAAAATAATTCAACCGAAAAACTCGAGTGTTACATATAAATAAATTATATATAATATAAAATATAATATAAAATTGATAATATTTTCAAAACTTGATGTTTGCACATACAAAATTAAACTGCACATGCGCGAGCTATTGTAAATAGGTAATCAATCATAAGCCTGCTCTTTGTTAAGCCCATGGCACATAGAAAAACGTAAGGCCGTAAACGTAATCAGTAAGCGAATTGACCAATCACAGTTGAGAACGTAAGCGGCCGCCTCTTACGTTCTCAACTGTGATTGGTCAATTCGCTTACTGATTACGTTTACGGCCTTACGTTTTTCTATGTGCCATGGGCTTTACTGCACTACAATGCTCTATCTTTCACCAATTTCAAATACACATCTATTTCGTTTTAAGTACGGGCGGAATTCATAGATGTTGCTCAAGACTAGAAATGTTCTTAAGCTAGTGCTTAAGACGTCACAAATCAATCAGAGAACGGTATTAACGTTTTAAGACAGCTTGAGTTGATCTTGAGATTAAGAATGAACTATGGATTCCGGTCTAAGAGTCCTTGTATTTAAATATTATTTCAAAGTTCACACGTTTACAATTTTTTTTAGTGTTAAAATTAAATTTTTCACTACAATACCGGCTATTTTTTTAAAGGATAAGATTATATATTGTAATTTTTTGAAGTCAATGGAACTAATATTGATTTGGTAACACTTCAAAAAATGGTTTGAGTCATTTTAACCCAGAGTAACCATCGTGATTTTTTAAATTTGACGATAAAGAATTAATAGACTCGAGCGAATTTGTACCAATCTGGGTTGGATTAATAACGTACGCTCTCCTATCGATAGAACATGTAACGTCAAAAGTAATAGTAGAACATTATTTATCTCGATTACGCATTTGAGACTCTTTTACGGGTATTTTTTTCAATTATACAGAAGATTTGCGGGTTATCGCTGTGTCTTTCTTCATTATTGATGCCAACGTTTCGTGAACCATGCCGTTCACTTCATCAGAGCGAGGGGTGCGCTAATACTGGTATACGTGGCAGTATCAGCGCATCCCTCGCCCTGTTGAAGTGAACAACATGCTTCACGAAACGTTATCAATAATGAAGAAAGACACGGCGATGACCCGCAAACCTTCTGGTATTATTTATCTCATATCTGTGCGAATCCATTCGAGTCGAAAAACGCTATAAATTTGCATGACTTTCAGATTTCTCAGATAACTGTGATAACTCGACTAGTTATACAAAAAATAAATTATTGATAATTGTTAAGTAAAATAATTAATTTTTGTGAATTATTATACATATAATAAAAATATTAGAATACTCGACTACTACGCTTTTAAGGCTTTCACGGGTATTTTCTTCAATTATACCAGAAGATTTGCGGGTTATCGCCGTGTCTTTCTTCATTATTAATGCTAATAGTAGGGGAGGCCAAGCGGGGATTTTGGGATTTACTCGAGCGCGTCAGAATAACATAAAGGGGGAAAGCTTACACCCTAATAAGTACCCCCACCAAATATTAAACCTCTATATAGAGCCGGGGGTCCAGGGGATTAGTAAATAAAAAAAATCGATCGTTCGAAAACTCGAGCGCGTCAGATTAAGGTATGGTGTGTTAATTATATGTAGAAAAGTGTACATTTCAAAAATCTGACGCGCTCGAGGAAATTTTTTTTTCCCCCTTTTTTTGACCCCTTCCTACAGCTAACCCCACGCAAACCGTCAGATTAATATTTATCCGTTATCAGAAACACATGGGTCACTTACACTATTAATATCTGACACGCTCGAGTATTTCATTGTCACTGTTTTTTTTGAAAGCCTGTACACGCTCACCCCACCACTGAAACGGCATACATCCTTTTTTTCTTTTTAGCATCTAATCTTCACAATCCAATAGGTCCCCACGACGCTCGAGTAAATCCACATTTAGCCTCTCGGCCTCCCCTACTATAACGTTTCGTGAACCGTGCCGTTCACTTCATCAGGGCTCGACTACTACGTGTGGCAATGTTCAAAAATACTTTACAAAGATTTTTTTTAACACAATACTTCTTTCAAAAGTTTTGTATTCACCTCCATTTTTATTCATATTTATTTTTTTTCTAGATAAATATATCTGCAATTTTATATCCCACAATAACAAATATTTATACTCTCACATATATATGGTTGCCATTTTTCTGATTTCCCGTCAGAAATTGTGGCTATTTCTCTATTTGAAGGAATCTCTGACTTTACAAGAAATGTCTTCAATTAACCGTTCAATAATAAGAACCTTATTGGACTATATATGTAAATATACACAACCATTAGAAAATATTAAGTCCATAACGATCAAACACAAATTTTTAATGCTTAAATAATTCCATGTGAATTTATATATATCCTATTTATGAAGTCATTTGAACTGCGTGTCAAAGTAATATTTTTCGCAACAAATAAATTCAGATTTCCAACCTATTAAGATATCTTTTAATAGATGTCTATTGATCATCATCTATTGTAATTGTGATATTATTATAATAATACAGTATATATGTATATATATATATATATATATATGAACATGGCCGGAGACGCTACCGCGTCTCCTGATATATATATATATATAAATAACTTTACTACATTTCTAAGTTTGAAAAATCAATTCGACGCGCAGTTCCTATCACCATTTAAACTTTTTTTTGTAAGTGTGCGAGAGAGAGAGGGAGGGGGGAGAGAGAGAGTACTACTATAAGATAAGAATAATGTGATAATGATTGTAAATAATAATTAATTTCTGACAGAAGGAACATCGATCTTCATCGAAACGTTAGTCAAAAAATGGCAACCATGGTACATACATTAATTTTCTATAATTGTAAGTAATTAGAAGACTAAATAATATTTTAATTGATATTATTTTTTACATATCCAATTCTCTCTCTCTCTCTCTCGCACGTGCACACACGCGACACATACACACATACGCGCGACCGCACATGTATGAGATACTATACTGCATATATATATATATAATTTCGTAATACATGTAGGAAACAAAACCTACCTTTACCTGTTTACAGTTTACAATTGTACCTGTTTAAATAATAATCTATTATATATTATCTTTCTTTTTAACAAAAGAAAAGGCAGCATCATCATTCGCTCCAAAAAAATGTTCTGCTGGTGTTACTGTTATTTTCTTGCCGATTCGTGGTACAGAAAAATCTATATCTTTAAACTGGTTTACATCTATTCCCATTTGTAAAGGGTGAACATAGATTTCAGGGTCTTCACGAAGAGGAACTGATTCCACATGGTATTTATCACTGTCCATTATATACTCACTGAATGTGGCTCCATTCTGACATAAGATAAAAAATGTTTTTCTTACATTTAGACAATTGTCTTTGAATACACGCGTATCAAATGTATTGGATGTACGAATAAGTTTTAAAGCGTTTTTTGTGTAACGTATAATTTAAACTTAGAATTCAAAAAAACAATTGACTTCACACAATTGGAAACCTTAAAATTAAATGGTTTTAAAATGGCGAGCGAAATTTATTCGACACTGCATTCGATATGAATTTCATCAAGGAAAAAGCTCTGCTGAAGCATATGAATCAATTTGTTCTGTTCTTGGAGACAATGTTGTATCCAAAAATACGTGAGTTTTGGTTTAGGCGATTTAAACAGGATGATTTTGATGTTAGTGATACAGAACGTAGTGGTGCTCCTCAGAAGGTTACAGACAATCAATTGCAAGCATTACTCGATCAAAACTCATGTCAAACACAAAAAGAACTTGCACAACAACTTGGAGTAACTCAACAAGATATTTCAATTCACTTACAGCAGATGGGAAAGATTCTAAAGGAAGAAAAGTGGATGTCGCATGCATTAAGTGAAAAAAAAAAAAAACAAAAATGATCGTCTTAAGGCTCCTGAATACCGGCGACGGCCATGTTGGAATTGTGACGTCATAGGCGAGAAAAACACATTAATTTTTCTTGCGTCCCATTTTTTAATAAAGACAATTTGGATAAATTTAAAAGGCGAGATCGCTCAAAAACACTTGTGAAAATTGGCGGAAACTGTCCTTTCCTCCTCTGATAGTCAGTAAATGGTCGTAAAAGGCACGTAAAGTGAGCCTATACTCGGGCAGAATCACACATTTTGACAGCTGATGAAACGAGTGAAATATACGCTTTTACGTATAAAATTTCACGATAACTGCAGTTTCCGCCAATTTTTAGGACTTTCACGAGTACGAGGGAAATCACATTTTCACAAATAAGCAAATATTGACAAAATGGCACGCAAGAAAAAATTTGTCGTCAAAACATCACTTTTTCACGCCTATTAGTTCAGACTTTTACCATGGCGAGGCGCTATACACACACACAAGCATGAACCCATGTCTGTGCGCTCCCCTTCTACCCGAAAATGAGCACACGGACATGAGCTTGCAATTGTGTGTATAACCAGTAGCGTACTACCAGTTTTGCTAGCCACCGACTGATTCGGTGTCGCTACCCATCAACACGGAGTTCTTGGCTGAGTATTCAGGAGCCTTAAGAAGTGTTTGAATCTGTACAATAAACAGCATAGAAAATCTTTTTTGTGGAAAATCGTGACTGGTGATAAAAAGTGGATTTTTTACAATAATCCTAAAAAGAGAAAACCTTATGTGGATCCAGGACAACCCACTACATCAACGCCAAAACGCAATATCCACAGCAGCAAAGTTATGCTTTGCATCTGGTGAGACATGAAGGGTGTGCTATTTTATGAGCTGCTCCACCCGAATGAAACGGTTAACAGTGATCGCTACAGTCAACAATTGATCCACTTAAATCAAGAAATCGAACTAAATCGTCCATTTACTGGCAAAGGAAAACGTCCCATTAAATTGCTTCATGACAACGCTAGGCCTCAAGTTGGTAAACCTGTAAAGGAAACGTTGCTAGCGCTTGATTGGAAAATTCTACCGCACCCAGCATATAGCCCAGACATAGTCCCTTCAGACTATCATTTATTCCGATAAATGCAAAATGCCTTGTCCGGTGTACACTTTCGAGTATTTGAAGAAATGCGAAAATGGGTGGATAATTTTATCACATTGAAAGACGAAACTTCTTTGCTTCTGGAATTCGCAAGCTACCCGAAAGATGGCTGAAGGTCATAGATAATGACGGGGATTATTTTGATAATTAAGTGTTTTTGTTTCTAAATAAATAAATAAATATTAAATTTCATTAGAAACGCTTTAAAACTTATTTGTACACCTAATATAATGTAATGTTATAATATAATTATGTTACGCTCACCGCTGTTTCTGGTTCATCTTCTTTTCTTATTGAGTTTTCATTGTTAAAACTAATTAAATCATCTAGTGAAATCTTTTTGATTCTCACAAGACCCATGATTGCAGCATTTCTATACAGTTTAACCTTCTGCTTACAATTATTGTTTAAATGATTAACCTCAGATTGATTTACTTTTATATTATCACATTTGGAAGAGTTTTGAGATATGTCTTTCTCACATTGTATCATTTTCTCAAGATTTCTGAAGAAGTTCTCTTCCCAATGTCTATTTGAAAGATCACGACCACCATTTACCTGTGTCATATTAATTTAGTTTTTTTAACTACATTATAATTAATGTTTAGAAATTCAAATGAAATAAATATCAAAGGGCTATTCGAATTAATGCTGGTTGTCTTATGTAAATTGAATGTAATGCTATTATTACAAAATAAAATTACTTTAAATCTAAACAAACATTTCAACCTTTAATGATCATCCTCAGTGATTGTAAAAATATAAAATATATAACTTATCAACTTGTCAATACATAATTACATATTGAAAATTCGTAGCTTTCAAGATACTGTTCGCAAACAATATTGTCCCACTTCACTCGTACTGTTCACGCAGTTTGGGATTATTTTTAGGTGTACAAATTAGTTCGGTCCGTTTTTTGTGTTCAAAGGTGCATTTATTTCAAAACAAAATAAATGAACAAATTAAAGTATTGTCCATTTGCTGGCTACTACTTTTTCCCATCTCTCAGGCAATTTTCGAATTCCGTCTCGAAAAAATGACTCGTCTTTGGAGGCGATCATCTTTTGGAAAATGGACCGAACTTGGAGGCGATCATCTTTTGGAAAATGGACCAAACTAATTTGTACTCCTATTATTTAGTAATAGCTCAGTTAAGAAATTTGAATTTATTAGATAACAATGTCTCAAGAATATCTTAAAGTTAGAATTAAATGATACTTATAGGAAAACAGATTATAATACTCGTATACAACTTTTTCGCATTACACGCACTTACAATCTGCCGTTGCCTTCTCATCCATATTTGTAATTCTTTCTTTAGACAAGGAAAATCTTATATATTTTATTCTTATTTGATTCACATCATGCACCATCGCAAAATTGGAGGACCTTTGATTATCAATTTCGCATGTTGTTATTACTTTGTCATCCGCCATTTTGAAAATAATAGCCTAGGACAATTCCCATTCAAATAATCTTAAAATAGATATTTCAAGCTTCATTTTACTTTTTTAAATATTTTTATCTTCATTATTTAGAAAGTTATTATCATTTAAAATTTGGTAAATTTTTCCCAAATTTATAGTGTACCGCTTTTTTTGGAACTAAGTGTATTTAGATACATGAAATTTAAATTCTGTCATACCATATATAGTTTTGGATCTACATAATCCACATGTCTGTTAATATCCATTACTTCCATACAATGTTATTATAATTGATCAAACATCTATTTAATGTATAATATTATGATAATATGAAAGGAATTGTAAAGCAATGAAGAAACCTCGGATATTCAACAGTATAATTATGCATTAATAAGTCAATGATAGTTGTATATTTTATATTTTTATAACTACTAAAAATGACTATATTAAAGATTAAAACATTTATTTATAGATTTAATACAATTATATTTTTGTGATAATACATTCAATTTTGCATAAGACAACCAACATTTGGCTTGAATAGCCTCTTCATATTTATTTTAATTAAATTTTTAATTCTATTGAGACGTTTCTTTTGTTTGATTTTCAATTATTAATCTTTAAAAATTAATGTTTATCTTTATTTAGCTTTTTTGAACTGTTCAGATGTACATTTGTTCAAACATAAAATTATTACATTTTTCCTCAACTATATTTTTTAATGTAGAATACCTTAAAATCCTAACTGCATGGTATTATTTCTTATTAAAATGAAAAACATATTTTTTATTAATGTCTTAATTATCTTTTTAATAGGTAAGAATATCCACTTACCTCTCTAACAGCAGCAGAAACTTCATGTTCGTCGAAAGTAGATTTTACTCTATTACATATATTTACATTTATGTCATCATCCTCGGCATCAGATTCTTCTAGTAACTGTAATTAAGTAAACAAATAATTATTAATAATAATATATAAACTCAATTAAAAGTTTAGGGAAGCTAAAATATTTCGAAAATGATCAACTGTAGCGAAAAATATATAAACAAAGCTAAAGAAAATGTACCTGATGATGATAAGGATTTGACTTTAGATAAAGTCCTTAAGATCATACAAAGATTAAGTTGAATTTTTCGACTAGAATTTCTCATTTTTTTATAACCTTTTTAAAAATTTGTTCATGATTCTAACAATGAACATCAAGATCAAGATTATTAGAGGTTGTCTCTCTTATTTTCATTTTTATTACATTAAACATGAAAATAAGAACAATCTCCTTAGATAACATTAATGCCAACAATACTATAATTTTCAAACTTTATAACGAGAGATGTGTGCTTAAGAGAAAAGTACTTTATAATACTTCTGAGACTTTTGTGAGTGTTTTTCTCAGAAGTACCAAAATGGTACAATAGATCAAGACATCAATAATACAAATTTTTTAACATCCGAGGAAAAATATTTTATTATAATGAAAAATTCTAAAAATAAACTACAAGAATATGCAATAAAGAATAGAGCATTCTACTAAAAAAGTTCAACTTAATCTTCATATAATCTTATGAACTTCAAAGTCAAACTCTAATCACTATTAGGTATATCCTTTTAAGCTTACAATTTTGCTTCTTATTTGATCGTTTTCAATATATTTGTAGACATTTAGAGAACACTATATATATATATATATATGTGTGTGAAACATATAAATTAAATATTACTTCTCATGTATATATTAATGTACAATGACTACAAAATGTATTTGTAAGCAAGATATCTTTAAAAAAAATTTATTTTTAGAAAATAAAATTTAGCAACTAATTAGCAATTTATTAAAAAAGAATAAAATTTCTCAAAATTACCTTATTTAAAAACATGTATAATAATTACAGTAAATTACCTTGATAACAAATCAAATGAAATATTGTATTGTTTGGGCGCATAAAGTTTATACATATAGTCGAGAAATTTGAATTTTAAAGTCATGAACAGTTTATTTTCATGCAGCTCTTTTATTTATTAATATATATTGAACAGAACATGTACTTGTTAACAAATTGCTAGTTACTGTATTAATAATGTAATAAATTAATTTTCTACAAGTAAAACTTTATAAAAATTTATCCTGTATAAATACTTTTTATATCCATTATATATACTGACATGTGCGTTTCGTGGTTTCTTTACTGATCTTTCATTCATTTTTCTATCTTTCGTAGCCTGACTTGGTTCTTGTAGACGATAGAACTTAGCATTGTTGTCCAAAAAAGTAAGTGATGTTGCCTTTTTAATATCATTACGCAAATCCATTTTTTGAAATCTACAGAACATACCAGGAAAATATTAAACCTAATCAAGTTTTGTTAGATAATGTTTCTTTAGAGATACCAATTTTTGACCTTGTTAAATGTTGCTTAATTTCTATAATATTAATTGTATTTTGAATTTTTATATATTTTATTGCAACAAATATTTAAAATGGTAGTTTTATTAGCATTATGCAACTCTCAACAATATTTGATAGAAATTGTTGTTTAATATTTCAAGAAGAGATCATTGAATCGTTTAATATACATTTAGCAAATTATTTAATTTTAAGAGATCTCTCAAACCTTTACAGTTTATCATAAATTTTTAGAAACATTTTGTATGTTTTAAAAAAATAGAAGCAGAAATATAAGTTTCTTAATTTATCGAATATTAAATTTCCATCTTTATCAACTTTTGTTCCTATTATATACATATGTTCATATAAAAAAAATAAACAAAATTGAAATGTGTTTACAGGTAAAGCTAGAACACATGATGTTTATTTTCTTGCTGAATTGGATTCTTGCTACCGTAATGGCTACAATGACATTGCTATGGTGACAAGATTCTAATATAGAGTGCTTTCCATTTGATGACACAAGTCGACACAAGTGTCATTCTATCTTTGTCAATCTCTAAATGTCAAGAAGGATAGAACGAAACTTTTGTTGACTTGTGTGTCATCAAATCGAAAGGACTCACAGATAGCAATCCAATAGGAAAACAAGCATCGTATATCATCAGCTTAAGATTTAATTAAACAATTAAATGAAATTTATATTATCTAAATAAACCTCAATAAACCTGTAAGTGTATAAGTGATACCTAAATATGAATTCACATCTAGATAATCTTTACAGATGTTCAAAAAGAACATGTCTCTTACAAGGGAGTTAATATATCATATACTATATAAATGATTGTACTGCAATATCAGATCAAGATAATTCATTTTCAATACTGTTATTTCAAAGATATTAGAAGCTGCATTTAATTATATCCGTCTTACCTCTGTTCGATTACAAAGACAGAAAACCAAATAAGGATTATTGAAAAGCTTTGTGACTTGGTCATGCAATGATCAAATTCACATTTTTATATATTTAATCGTATCTATCTTTGATTTTAGACGTCCTCTCCACAGACTTCTTAGCTAATTATTCAAAATGCAGCTTTCACATTCGATTTCGAAATTAAATTTATTCGATATATTACGCGTTTTTGCATAAAACGAAAGAATCTGCAAGAAAAATCATTGAGTTGGTTTGACAAACTGAGATACACAGCAATCGTTATCGACTACCAATAGTACCAATGATTATTCAGGTTATAAAATCTATCACAACACTGCACGACACCACGAACGAAAAGTAATGGCCGCAGCACAAAACATGACGCTTAAGGGCCTACGCACAATAGAAGAAGTATTACAGTTATTAAATATAATGCCTAGTTCACACTGGATGCAATGAACGACGAGCGATATCCAATAAAAGCTTTGCTTTTGCTCGCACGACGATGTAAAGCAGAGTTCTTATTGGTTAACGCTCGTCGCGCGTCGTTCATCGCGTCTAGTGTAAACTACGCATCCAATAAGCATCCAGCATAAAGATGCCATATTAATTAACTAAGATGCTCATTGGTCTTATGTTATGTTTAAGCCCATTCTACATTGGCCGTATCGTAGACGTCGCAGGTCACAAATTTGTTGCAACAGCCAATCCGATGTTAGAAGTCTCACGATGCTTATGTAGGATTCACACTGCGTCCGACGTACGACGTCCGATATCCAATAGGAGAGCTTGTTTTCTTGATATATAGCTAACAATATTTTGTAATAAGCTCTGCTATTGGATATCGTACCGTCGGATGTCGTACGCAGTGTGAATCCTACATTACGATGTTACGATACGACCAATGTAGAATGGGCTTTATGTACTGTTAATGCCTTTCATGTGTTTTGGGCTTTAAAGGCTTAAAACGTGCGCCACATGGTAAGCGCCATGGTAAGCGCCAGTAAACGCAATATGGTGCACACACGTATAAATGTTTTTAAATATAAATGTATAATGTATTTATATCATGGGTGCACATAATCCGAATGAGTGGCACCAAAAAAGTTCGCACACAGTGTGAACTAACTGTATTACGATTTTTCATCGTAAACGTGACGTACTGTGACGTTATTGATTGAACTAGGCTGATCTGATAACAGAGCGAGGATCATTTGTGTCGAAGAAGATCGTATAAACATTATAGAAACATGTTTAAACACAAATGGATATTGGAGGCCGCGAATCCCAAGTCTATCGTCAGCTGTCACTTTTATCTGGCAGTAAGTTTCAACAATTTATTTCAGTTTCGGAATATGTTTAGACTTATATTTCTTGCTAGTCTTAAACCCTAATGATTGCAATGTTGGGTGCATCTAGAAGCGATGATCACTCATTGAGCAATAAAGGAATTAACGTGTACCTTCCAACAAACGACACAGTACAACACAGTGATCCTTGTTTAACATTGGTGAACAACAAGGACATACTGATACACTGTGTCATCTGTATCTTATTGCAAAACACCCGATATATTCATTTATTATAATATTCATAATGTAGAACTTACCTGTTTATAATCTTTAACATGATATATTTCTTTCTTACTTATTATCGTTCATTATTTTTCTAAGGCTATGAGTGTGAATAATATGAGCGACATAAAGTTATACTCACGCTCTGTTAAAGAAATAATGAACAAGAATAATAAGTAAGAAATATAATATTTATAGTTATCCATAATAGATCAATTTTATGTTATAATACATTATGAATATTATAATAAATAAATATATATCAGTGAACAGTCGTCACTTCTGGATACATCCATTGAATTATGTAAATAATCATATCTGAAATGATTCTAATGAAAATATAACATATTTCAGTGTGCGCAAGCTTCAACAGAGAGTAACAAAGGATTCTCTGAGAAACTAGCAAAAGGTCCACAATTTGAGGACTTTCTAAAAAACGATATTAAAGAGTATAATGGCAAATTAAAATTAGAAATAGGCGAGTCGGAACGGTTGAAACTACCACCATGGCTGAAAACAGAGATACCTGTGGGAAAGAGTTATAGTAGAATAAAGGCGCAACTGAGGCAATTACGACTAAGTACAGTTTGCGAAGAAGCCAGATGTCCTAACATCGGGGAATGCTGGGGTGGAAGCAGTCATAATACAGCAACAGCTACTATTATGGTTTGTATAATAAACAGAGAAAGGTTGTGACCTTGGTATGCCAATGCTCCTTGCCGTGAGAAATGAATTGCATGAAAAAATGAGATTTGACCAACGAGGACAAAGAAATTTTAGTTTCTATATATTATTATTTGAATTGGTCAAATTTCAATCTTCAATCTCATATAGCTTTTTTTATTAGCTAAACTGATGCACATTAAAGCCGTTGTATACTAATCTGATCTGAATATAAAAGTGAGATACCTATCTCAATTCATAAAATGCTTAATATACGTTTTATCAAATAGTACCGTAATAAAATATATTGAGAATTTTCATGGTTTAACTCATGCACGATGCAACTTCCGCCCGATTTTCGAATCAGCCGAAAGTTGCATCGCGTATCGAGCCCTGATTTTTAACTTGTTTCTATATTTTTATTAAACATATGTCTTTACGTTGATTTGTGTACAACTTTAAAGTGCATTAAGTACGCGTCAGTTCTGCCACTATTATAACATTTTCAATCCGAGCGGGATTGAACCACTTTGGATTGGATAATGTTAGATCTACTATTGGTAGATTAATCTACTACTGGTTAATTAATCTACTATTAACGTAACGTGTTCTAAGGCGAGAAACACACACTTTTGCATAACGCATAAACCATATACATAAAGAATTTGATTGGTTCATTGACTCATGCATAAGAAAATGGGCAAATGAAATTCCTTATGCACATGCTTATGCGTTAATGCAAAAATGTGTTTCTCGCCTATCAATGAGAGAACATATAACATCATTAATCCAACTCTAAATTAAACTACGCATTGGAGATTGAGATTATTGATTAAAGATTGCATAAAGAAATAAACGAATGCATAAAGAAAAAAAATCGATTTTTTAATATTAAGGGGCTAGTGTAAAGTTGGCCCCCCAAAACTGTCGTATATCTTTTGAATTAAGGGTAAGCAAACGAAAATTCCAACTGAGCATTCGTGAGCAAACGATAAGCAAACGAATGCATGAAGAAAAAAATCGATTTTTTAATATTGGAGGGCCAGCTTCATACGGGTTTAATTTTGCTATTGAGTGCATATTATTGTAACTTTCAAGTTTTTTAACTCGAAAAGTACTGATTAAAAAGAGGAACATTATACTGTTTTGTAAAGCTCTTGATATCAGCTAATTAGATTTTAAAATAAAAAAATAGAGTATTTCATTAAAAAAAAATAGATTGACCTTGATCTAAATTTAACGCTACCCAAAATAAAATTGGTAAGGTCTCTAAGGTCTAATAAAATTAAATAGTCATTTTTAACCCTAGAACTTTTATATGAGATATTTTCTTCAAAAATGCTTATTTTTTCAAGGTATTTAAAAGGTCTAGGACTTTTTGGACTGTATCACGCATAAAAGATAAAAATTTAAACGATAACATAAATTTTAACGATAAAAGTCAGCGGCGAAAGGACTGGAAGCGATAGTAAAAATTAGGTATAATTTTGGACTGTTTAAATTTCGGCATTCCTTTTTTTTTGGTCTGAAACCGAAAAAAGACCGGTCATCGTTAAAAAGACGAGGACCAAAATCAAAACTTGGGTATAGCCAGCTCTCATCGTTACTGTAATCAGTCCAAAATTTTATTGTAATGGTCTGAGTCCCTGTGTTGAAATAACAATAGGTTGATTCTCTTAGTTAATGGGAGACACATGCACTCGTGGCTGCCGTTTCTGCTCTGTCAAAACTGCACGTAAACCACCGCCGTTAGATGAGGAAGAACCCATCAATACTGCTAGCGCAATAGCTGCCTGGAATTTGGATTATATTGTTTTAACATCCGTAGATCGTGACGGTTAGTTTAGAATCAATGGTTATGTTCAGTAAAATATTGTATTTATTTTGCAACTATTGAAAATTTCCTTCACCCATGATTGGATTATATTTTCTCAGATCTGAAAATACTTGTAATCCAATCAGTGTGAAGAAATTTCTAACAATTACAAAATAAACATTCTGCTAAACACAACCAATGTGTATCATAAACTGAAGACTGTACAATTAAATTATACTATTATAGATCTAGAATTCAATGCATCATTTATTATTTCAGATTTAAAAGATGGTGGAGCTAGCCATATTGCATGTACTGTTAAAGAAATAAAAAAGAGGTATCTCACCTGTACAATTATTTTCTTTATTTAATGAAACAAATTAAGCAAGTCGTACTTCGTGTTTCGTTATAGAAGCAACATACTAGTGGAATGCCTGGTACCAGACTTCAGAGGTGATGAAAACTGTATCGCTACGATTGTAAATTCTAATCTGGATGTGTTTGCACATAATATCGAGACCGTAGAGCGTTTAACTCCCTTTGTTCGTGATATGCGCGCTCGCTATAGGTATGTACAATGTATCCTTAAAAATTCTTATACACAGGGTGTCCTGTATATATATATATTTTTTTATTCATGTATATATATATATATATACAGTATACACACTCACTCACAAAAAAGCGGTACTCTATAAATTTAAGAAAAATTTACCAAATTTCAAATGATCTAACTTGGTAAATAATGAAGATAAAAATAT